GGCTGCTGGATCAGCAGGGCACTGTCGGCAGAGCCTCCCCTCTTCAGTTCTCCCCGACGGGTGCTTCCTGGGGACTCCAGGCTTGAGCCCTTCCTCATGGCTTTGCGGGGGTACTCTGGCCGCTTCTGGGCTTCAGGGGCTTCTTCGTCAGAGGAGCCAGGTGCCTCCACCTCTGTGCTTGGCCGCCGTGGGCCAGTGCCCCTTGGCCGCTTCCCCAGGGCCACCCCAGGCTTCCCCACACCCTGGCTCTGCCACTCCATGGCAGAGACGTCCTCTGGCATCTCCCCCTCCAGGCATGGCCCCTCAGCTGGCCCAATGGCCTCATCATCTGTAGGGATCTCATTGAGTGACATGCGGGAGCCAGAGAACTCCATCTGGTGGGGCATGGGGATAAAAGGCAGCTCATCCAGGTCGTCTGAGTCTGAGGAGGATGACAGTGCTGGTGACTCCTTGAGGTGCCGGGGCACAGCAATGGAGAGGTGATTGGACGTGTCCTCCAGCAGCTCTGGGATTGGGCGCAGCACCATGTTGCACTTGTAGCTGATCTGTGAGCGCTGCAGCAGGTGGAAAGGGCTGGATCAGGCCCAGGCAGGCGATATAGCATCATCCTGCCCAGTGCACATCACCCCATCCTACCCAGCACATCACCCCTTCCAGCCCAGGGGACATCAACCTGCCCAGAACCCTATTCTGCCCAGCACACAGCTCTGCCTGCCCCTTCTCCTGCCCCAACTCCTGCCTTCACCTGCCACTTCCGACGGGAGAGGAAGAGCTTTAGGTGATCAGTGCTGATGACCTTCCCCTTGGCCAGCGTCTGCAGAGCAAGAGGACAGTGGTGTCCCATGGAGCCTATAGCAGGCCCAGGGGAACCCCACTGCCGCTGGACACTGGGTCTCTTGTCCAGGCTCACCTTGAACCAGGGATGCTCCAGGGTCTGCTCTGCATTAGGTCTCCTGTGAATCAAGGTCACCGAGTGAGAACTGGGGGGCTTTGGCCAGCCCAGAGAGGGGCAGGGGATTCTGGTTGCCCTTGCTTCACCCTCGCAGGGCTGTGCAGCTGGCCTGCCCTTGGGCACCCCAAAGAACAGGGGTCCCCACCCTTCCTTGAGCACAAGGCTCACACCGGCAGGATGGGGACCGGGAACCCCACAGCACTCACAGGCTGTCGTTGACCAGCACTTTGATGACAAATCCCTTGGCTTCCCGTGTGAGCCCCTGGAACATCCTCTCCTCAAAGGCCACGTTGTAGTTGCGGATGTTCATCAACGTTGTCTTGTCGTTCTCTCCCACAAAGGGTGAGATCCCAGTCAGGCTGCAGAGGAGAGGACACTGTCATTGGGCCAGGGGAACATGGGGAACAGCAAGGCAAGTACAGGGGACCAAGGACAGGACCCTGAACCCCAGCTCCAGTGCCATGGGGAGGGCAGAGTTGGGAGCAGCCAAGGAGGAGGCTATCTGCAAGAACTAATATGCATAGCTGCAGCCCCAGCACTGCAGCCAGCGAAGGGGCCAGAAGGGAGTTCCTCCAGTGGGAGCTCATCAGACTCACTTACCAGAGGTAGGCGATGACCCCCACGGGCCTGCAGAGAGGAGAGCATGGTTACTGCACAGCATGAGCCCTCCATGGTGCCCAGTCCCTCCTGACATAGCAGGGAGCCCAGTGTCCACCCTAGGGCTACCCTTACCAGATGTCTGTGACACTGGAGACAGGGCTCTGGTTGACGATCTCGGGGCCCACGAACTCAGGGGTGCCATACTTGCAGTACTGTGGCTCCTCGGGAGTCAGCTCCTGAGCATTTCCAAAGTCACAGATCCGGACCTGCTCACTGCTCAAATCCGCCATCAGGAGATTTTCTGGCTACAGGACAGTGTGAGGCAGAGGGACGTTGGCAGGAGGTGGGGACTCCCCTAGGGAAGGGATGTCCCCTGACAGCAGGAGTGAGCCCCCTGCAGTGTGGCAGGAGCCCATCCATGCAGGTGTGGGGTGGGAGGGGGCCAGAGAGCCCCACACTCACTTTGATGTCCAAGTGCAGGACTTTGTGCTGGTGCAGGTAGCAGATCCCCTCCAGGACCTGCCTTATGTAGGACCGGACCTGCAAGAGAGCAGAGAGAGGGTGGTCTTCCTGAGTGTGAGTCAGCCCCACTGTGGCCCTGTGCAGCAAAGGGTGTGGGCTGTAGCTGCCTTTGTAGCCTGATACAATGAATGTTGCACATTTCTGGGCTGGGACAGACCCCAGTATCCCCAGGCTCCTTCCCTCCCCCATCACTTTCCTTTCCCCAGGGTTCACCCACCTCAGACTCACACACTGAAGGCTTCCTTGCCATCCTATCCAGCAGCTCTTCCTCAGCACAGCTGGGCCCAGTCAAGGAACACAGAAACTCCATATCCCACCATGCCCTGCACCCTCCTGGGCACCCAGCTCCTTCTCACCTGCTCTGCCCACTCATCCCCCCTCAAAACCTCCCTCATCCCCAGCACTGTGAGTTCCTGAAGCAGAACCCAGAGGATATAGCTCCATGACAATGATGACAGCATTCTTCTTCTCGAAGGCATCATGGAAGAAGACGATGCGCTCGTGGTCCAGCTGTGAGAGGATGTGCAGCTCCCGGCGTGCTGACTGCTTGGCCTTCGTTCTCCCGGGGATGAACTTTGCAGCAAAGTCCATCCGGCTGCTCTTCTCTGTCACCCTCCGCAGGTAGGAGAAAGCCCCTCTGCAGTGTAGCAATGAGGGCAACAGGGAATAAGAAAGTGGGGAAGCAGAGGACCACCTCTTCCATGAGCAGCTGAAGCAGGTGCCCTCTCCACAGGGAGCTGCCCGCAGCCCCAGCAAAGGTCCAGGACCACCCACCTCAGGCCTGGTTTTGCCCTGGCCACCACAGCTCCCCACCTTGAGCTGGCACCAGAGCATCCAACAATGGCTGAGAGCAGCCCCAGCACATCAGGATCTGGCATACCATGGAGCTCACTACTGATTGACAGAGCCCCAGCATGCAGCCTGGCTCCAGCACCCCTGTTCCTCTGGTGCCCAGGGTGCCCTGCTGCTCACCATGCCAGCAGCCCCATACCTCCCAATCTCCTCATGCACGTCGTAGTAATCAGTCAGGCGTCGTGCCTTGTGCAGTGCATCCTCCTCCATGGCAGCATCGGCCGCGGGCTGGGCTGGGGGAAGGAAAGGCGCTGGCACAGGCCAAGCAGGCACCCAGGCTCTGCCCCTCAGGGCCGGAGGGCGGCCGGTCATACCTGATCGAACCACCAGCTCCGCCTTGCAGGAGACCTCCCCGGCCAGGTTCTTGGCTGTGCAGGTGTAGACACCGCTGTCAGGCTCGGCAGCACCCAGCACCACTAGTGAGCACTCATTGTCCTCATACACGAAGCTCAGGTGGCTACTCTCCTCCAGCAGGACCCCATCCTGGGGGTGGCAGGGGCATCAGGGGAGTCCTGTCCCATCCCCAACCAGCTCCCACCACCCCTTCCCTGTGGTTGGGGCATGGGGTGCATCTGCATAATTGCAAGTGAAAACAACCCCAAAGCCCCAGTGCAGTGACCCAGGTGAGGCAGTGGAGGGAATGGACTGAGGAGCGGGGGGGGGCTGTGGGTCAGGGAGGGGGTGGAGGGGTCCCAGCCCACCTTGTACCACATGATGTCTGGCAGTGGTTTTCCCTCGACCACCACAGCGAAGCGTGGCGTCTCCCCTTCCTGGACATCAATGTCCTCCATGATGGACTCAAAGCGTGGTGCCTCTGCCAAGAAATGAGGCATGGGGCACTGTGGGGCAGTGCCACCCTTCTGCCCCTGGTACAAGGTGTATGGCTGTGGGGCACAGTGAGAAAGTGCCACCCCATACTATAGGGGCACGGAGCGCCATAGGACAGTGCCACATGGGAGCAGGACACTACAGGGCAGGACACTTATTGCATGTGCCTGCAGCACTGTGGGGCAGTTTACCATTGGTGTGGGGCACTGTAGGGTGGTGCCATTCATGGCACATGGGCATGGGGCACTGGTGTCCACTACACATGGACACTTAGCTATGGGTATAGAACACCAGATAGCAGTGTCAACACATGGTTCATGGGTTTTCAGCTCCACAGGGCATTACCATCTTATAGAGCAGCACCCCCATGACACACAAGTATGGAGCACTGAGGAGCAGTGCCACCCTGTGGGGCAATGACACTCCCCCCCATGGCACACAGGGCAGTGCCACCCCGCAGAAGAGGGACACATCTCCCGGGCAGGAGGGCACCTACCTGCGAGGCGGAGGCGCAGGGTGCAGCAGGCAGTGCCGTGGCGGTTGCTCACCTCGCAGGCCAGCGACCCCACCGCCCCCCGGCCCACGCGCAGCAGTCGCAGGCAGTGCTGGTCGTCGTCCGGCATCGTCACTTCACAGGTGCCCTCCTTCTCTCCCAGCACCTGCCCACCCCTGCAGGTACACCAGCTGCCACATCACAGCCCCACAGGCAGCCCCAGTCCTATCAAGAGCTCCCACCCCCCAGCGCCATGGTCACCTCCTGACCCACAGACAGCCCTGGCTCCTGCCCTGCAGCCCCTGCAAACAGCTCACATCCTATTGCTAGGTCTGCCTCCTGAACGGCTCTCAACACTTCACACCGCACATCCAGCGCCTCCCCCAAAAAAGCCTCCACCTCCATAAAGCTCTGCACTGTGCTGGACATGTGCCTTGCCTGCATGCCCAGCCTGGCCCCAGGGAAAGACCCCCCACCCACCACAGGCTGCACAAGGAGCTGGTGCAGAAGCCCCTTTGTGCACCCCATGGGGTAATCCTGGGCATGGGGCAGGCAATGGAAACAGCGCCATGTCCTACCTCTTCCAGGTGACAGTGGCCTCCACATGGTTGATGGTGATGGTGATGGAGGCTGGCTGACCCTCCACCATGTACACCACATCTGGCTTGTCCAGGATGACTGGAGCCTCTTCCAGGTACGGACCTGGAAGAGGCCCCGCATCATCACCACCACTTCCAGACCACACGTCACCCAGCCCTTCCCAACTTACCACCCCAGCAGGGACAGAGACCCATCCACCCCAGCTACCCATTCCCTCCCCACTGCCCCTCTCACCCCGGTCCAGAAGCTGCACAGGCCCCACAGGAGGGGAGGGCTTGCTGTTGGTCTTCGGGGTGGCAGTAATGACACGGAAGAGGTACTGGGCACCCTTGGTCAGCCCATACACTGTGTAAGTGGTTTTCCCCACGCCAGCCACCAGCACCAGCCACTGTGTTGTACCCAGCCATTGC